GTTTAAGGAGAAGAATTTGTGGTTAGCAATGCGCTGTGTGGACTGACCTTCTGGGTTCCCATCCAGCACCAGCGCTCGTTACACGTCTTAAAATGCTTAGAATTCCCCAGGACACTCAACAGCATCAATAGGAGAGGCTCTTAGAGGCAGAGTTAGGTTCTAGCTATGGTATGTGGCATGTCAGAGCTTCAAGTGGAAAGGAAGGACATGTGGACTAACACAAACACTAGAAAAACAATGACAAGAAATACAAACAATATGAAAACAAACGACAAAAGGTTAAAGCTGACATGCCAGGGACTGTGGAGACTTGTCAGCTGGTGAAACACCTGCTGTCCAAAAGGCCTGAGTTTGGGTCCCCAGCACTGTGTAAAATCCAAGTGTAGCGGCAAATCTGCAACCCCAGTGTTAGGGCACAGGGGCAGGAGGATCCCCAAACTCACTGGCCAGTCAGCATAGCCAACCTGTGAGCTCCATGTTCAGGGAGAGACCCTGTCTCAAAAAGTAAAATAGAGAGAGACTGATGAAATACCTGATAGCAACCTGTGGCCTGCACAAGCATGAACATGTACAGGCGCAGGCACACACACACACACACACACACACACTTCAAGTGATGTTCGAGTATTGGTAGCCACCAAAGAGATATTCTAGTGGATGGCCATGAACTGAAACATTCAGTGTAGTAAAATAGCACTTTAAAAGATAGTTAATTTAGAAGGTTCAACGATAAAAAGACTCATTCCCTTTCTCACTTATGATCCAGATAAAAACAAATACCTAATTTACCTGAACATTTTTTAAAAAAATCTATTAGTTTTTATAATCTTAAAATCTTACCCAAACTGGCATGTTTAGGCTTACATAAATACATTTTCATACATCTCAAAATCCCAGAAGTGCAGACACATGCCTGCAGGAATGCATGCCTGCCACAGGCTTGGTGTTTACCTCTCACTACTGTATGACTGTTGCAGGTGAGTGGGACTCTCACCCGTACACAGCTGTTAGCTTTTACCCCTGATCCCACTAGGAAATCTTTGCCTTTGTTCAAAACATTTGAACAAACTCACCTCTGAACTAACAGAGATTTGTTAACAGATACTTGGCATAAAAGGGCTTAGAGAAAATGCTCTTAAAGTCTCTCAGGCGGTTAGTCATCTAGACACAAATGGGTCAGCATCCACGGTGTTCAGAAGGTAGAGTTCAGGCTGAGCAGTCAATCCCAGGTGGTACTGAGGACAAAAACACAGGAGAGTTAGTGTGACTGTCAGGACTCACACGGTAAACTCACATATTGTTTTGATCCCTTTTCTCAGGACTCCTATATTTTATTTCAGAATAGAAAATGGTGGGGTTGGAGAGATGGCTCAGTGGTTAAAACACTTCCAGAGGACCTGGGTTCAATTCCCAGCATCCACATGGCAACTCACTGTTAAGTTCCAGGGGCTCCAACAACCTCACACAGACATGCAGGGGAAGCACCAATGCACATAAAGTAAAATTAAAAAAAGAAATGCCTTTATGTATATACAAGATCAGTATTTAAGTCCAAGGAAAATTTTAATTTCAGATTTTTATTTTATGTGCATCAGTGTTTTGTCTTCATGTATGTAGTGTGCATGTATCTGGTGTCCACAGAGTTCAGAAGGCATTGGGTCCCCTGGAACTGAAGCTTATAGGTGGCTGTGAGCCACGATGTGGATGCCTGGAACTGAACCTGGGTCCTTTGTGTGAGCAGCGTTCTTCATTGCTGAACCATGTCCCCAACCTATCAAGAACAAGTTTATTAGAGAAGAGAAAAACTCTAAGGCAGCCAAGACACCCAGAGCAAGAGATGGGGAGTCAGAAGAGGAAAGCCCTGCTTGAGGTAAGCCAGTGTGGAGGTCATCCACACAGCAGACAAGCAGCTAGGAGGCAGAGAGGCATTTTAGAGAAAGGGAGGAGCCCAGAGTGCCAGAGAAGGCAGGCTCAAACCCGTGGAAAGGGGGCAAGTTTCATGGGTGTGTGCTGTGTACCTGCCTGGGTATAACCAAACAGAACACCTTTGTGTTTTAGCATTGTGTACTGGAAATCGGATTTCAAATTATCTAAATTCTAAGCCCTGTAACCCTGGTCCTGTTATCCTTTGACACTTGAGCAAACCCTCCCATTAAAAGAACAAAAAGAGCGTGCTGAGAAAGGGGTAACCCAAGGGCCGCCAGTGTTTGCCAGACTGAATCAGGAACCTCATCTGCCTTCATGTCATGTACTTTTTCATTTTTCAAAGCGGGAAAATACGATGAAGCTAAGGATGATGCTGACTTGATTGCCACCCCCCACCTCCCAGGCACTGGGATTACGGGGGCTTATAACCATGCCCCACCCTCAACTGTTAAAAAAAAAAAAACATTTCCAGACCCCATCCCTGTGAACCAAATGCAGATGGTTTGCTGGGATCTACACTTAAAGTAACTCTGGCTAGCCTGGAACTTACTATACAAGCCTTGAGCTCAGAGATTTGCCTACCTCTGCGTCCTGAGTGCTGGGACTAAAGGTGTGCTCTGCCATACCTGGCAATGAAATTGTGCTGTGGTACACTTTGGGGCGATGGCTGACTTTCATATTAGTCTTTAGGGTATGAGTGATACTGTTGCCGTTGACACCAGCAGCCTATGTGTGAATGCAGAGTGCAGACTGTGAATCTGTATGAATGAACTATCCCATGTAATGTAGAGAAGGCACTGGAGCAGTGGTGGTGGTAGGGTCAAGGCCCAGCTTTAGCACTTCCAGTGTATATTTTGGGTTTTATTTTCAGAATTGAGGCAAGAGCTATACCACTGAGCAGGGTCTCAATCTGCAGCCCTGGCTAGCCTGGAATCTGCAGTGATCGTCCTGCCTCATGAGGCTAGGGTTACAGTCATGCAGCACCATGTAAGCTCTGTGTACCTTCCGGACCTTATCGTGTGTGTGTGTGTGTGTGTGTGTGTGTGTGTGTGTGTAAAAAGGAAACATGCTCTATCTGGAGAGGTCAACATGCTGATAAGATACCTCATCAAGTCTTCAGAAAGTTTATTGTAAGCACATTACAAATTGTCCCAAGTCACCTCACAGGAATGCTATGTGGCTGTGTGAAGACAATGTAGATGGAATGGTTCCCCGGATAAACGTTCCCTGCCAGTGTGCTAGGAAGACACTGACGTTTCACTTGCAGGTCTGACATCCGGGCTTGAGGACTAATAACTATTGCCAGACTCATTGATAATTCATGGAAGCCTCTCCCAAGTGAGCAAAGATGGTGAACTTCCTTGCTCCATGACATTAGAGTATTATCACTTGGGGAACGTAATTAGAGAATTTTGTTATCTAGTTGTGAGACACTGAGAAATGTGGCTAAGTATCACAATATGTTAAAATATTCTGGGGTGCAGACAGATACACGAGAGTATCTATTATTGGTTCTTAGCTCTGTCACACAGGACCCTGTCTGTTCTCTAAGTCTGACTCAAGCATCCAAAGTCACTGATAAGTGCTAACACAGGTTTCTCTTGTGTAGGCCACTCTGACCTTGAACTAGCTATGTGAACTGGCTGGCCTTCAGTCTGCCAACCTCCAGCGTGACTCTCAAGTGTTGAGATTACAATTGTATGCCAAGACACCCGATTGAAATGTTTGCCTGTCTTGGTGTTCCTGGTGACACTGGAGAAATGTTGGGGAGTCTTACTACAGCCTGAAGCATGTGCTGTGTGGGTTTGTGAATGAACAACAGACATCTGGGTATCTTGTTATAAGCACACCCACACACACACACACACAGAGGGAGAGAGAGAGAGAGAGAGAGAGAGAGAGAGAGAGAGAGAGAGAGAGAGAGAGAGAGAGAGAGAGAGGGAGGGAGGGAGGGAGGGAGAAGCCTTGGATCCCCTGGAGCTGGAGTTACAGATGGTCGTGAGCCACCTGAACCTGGGTCCTCTGGAAGAGCAGCGCCTGCTCTTAACCACTGGGCCACCTCTGCAGTCCATTGTTTCCCACTGTGTTAAGGTCTTTCAGGACTACCACTCAATTTCAATGACTTGGCCTTTTATAAACACATAGGCGGTAGCAGGGAGGCTACCATGATGTTCTGGAAATTGCTTTGCCTTCTAGATTAGTTCTGAAATTAAACCCAAATTAAGAGAAGTTTGGTGAATACAGTCAGCACAGATAACCTCTGGGGTTATCTTACACATGCAGCTCCTAGGGAAGGGCTGAGAAGCCACCACAAGAAGGGAACTTTAAGTCCACCTGCCTGTCCCAGGACAGACAAGGACATGTTCCCCATCATGTGCCTGGTGACAAAGCTCTTGGCTCATCACACCTCTGAGTTTCACCACCACCTCTAAATGGCAACAGGGGCCAGGATCTGCATTCACATCAGGTCTGCCAAAATGTGCATCTGGTTTTAAGCTAAGCGACTCTACTTTCTCTCCTTAAATTCTTACTATTTTTTGGCAGGGAATACATAGTCTAAAACCCTTCTTGCTGAGGCAAGACTATAGACAGGGTAGAGGAAGTTAGGAAAAAATTTCATATTGCAAAAAGGTAAAGTTATGGCCTTAACCACAAACAAAAGTGTTTAACTGAGTGGTAAACTCAATTTTCATTTTACTGAAAACAAATTTTAATTTGTTATTTATTTGTTGTGTAGCTATATGGAGGAAGTAGGCAAGTGCCACAGAGCACATGTGGGGTCAGGGACAACTTTCAGGAGTGGGCTTCTCCTTCCACCATGTGGGTCCCAGACACTGAATTCCGGTTGTGAAGCCTGGTGGCATCTATACCTCTGAGACCATCTTTCCTTTCAGCCTCTAAAGAGAAATTAGAATCCTGGTATCTACAACTAACTAGCCTTCTGGACACTGGGCAGTTAGAGTGTCACGCTTATTAGAATGGTCTGTATTTCTGTATCAAAGCTGCTGAGACCCTATTAACAAAGTGTTTTCAAAAATAGCCAGAAAAGCAAACAGGAAAAAGGAAAGTTTTTCTTTCTTTCTTTTTTTTTTTTTTCTTTTTCTTTTTTAATTACAAATCAAGTTTACAAGCTGTTAAAGGTTCACTAAAAGCCTCGTTGTAGCGACTTCCTACAGCCTGGCAGGGTCTCACAAGCCAAGCTGTAGCTATACCCCAGCCTGTCAACTTGCAGTGCACTGAAGGAGTACAATTAGTTCACGTCACATGAGAACAAATACCAATTTAGATAAAGTGCAAAGATGGCTCACAAATACACAGCCAGAACCACACTGGCATGGAGGACTAGAAATCTTTATACATTGTTTACTGTACAGGGTACTGTTGGAAGTACACCTTCTCAGTAACAATCAAATGACACTGTAAAATATTATAGTCAGAGAATCAGAAAAGAACATCTATGGTGAACTCTTCTATCATTGTAAACAAACATAACATAGAAGAATTGTAGGACAGGGAAGTAAGATCTGCAGCAGAGAGAGGCCTTGCCTACCACACATGAGGACCCTAGGTCCATGCCCAGCAGCTCTGGGCTGGACTATCAATGTTTGTGAATCTGGACACACCTTGACCCGAGGGACAAATGTATTACTACAGCATCTTTGTAAGAATTCTGTTGCCATCGATCTGGCCTTCACATGCTTCAGCAAGACAAGGTTTCAAAGGTCTGTCTCCAGCATCTTCAGGCACCATCCAGGTCAGTCTCAGAAACAATGGCGGTAGAAGGGGCAGGTATGAGAAGGACTGACCCTGTAGGGCAGTGGTTCGCAACCTTTCTGATGCTGTGACCCTTTAACACAGTTCCTCACGTTGTGGCGCCCCCCAAACATAGAATTATTTCATTGCTACTTCACAACTGCAATTTTACTATTGTTATGCATCATAATTAAATATTTTTTGGAGATAGAGGTTTGCCAAAGAGGTCTCCACCCACAGGTTGAGGACCACTGCTGTAGGGACCTGTCACCTGTAATTTTGTGTTATATTGGCTGAAGGGCTAAGGCTGATGTAGGGTGAGTGAAACAGCAATTTGCCAAATGTTTATGCCTCATAAAGAATCTATCCAGGTTGAGCTTCAGACTGTGTGTAAAATGTACAGATGAGGCAAGATCATGTCCGCCAGCTTGCTTCGAAGAAGAGGATGTCCTCCAAGGCCACTCTCATTCACGGGCTGACACCAAGACAATGACTACACACAACTTGCTTATTCAGTGCCACCAAAGATGGAATCATGTCTCGGGCTCCCGTGTAAAAGTGTCAGCTGGCTGAAGTGAGAGCAGCGGTCCCATGATGAAGACTCCAGAGCTTCGCCGTCTGGTCTCAACAGGCGTTCTCTGAGGGAACTAGTGTCATCTTGCAGGGAGGGAACTTCACAACCACAGTGACACCTACTGACTTTGCAAAGGTTAGGTCCAGAGATCCTAATGCTTTGAGTCATCTTTGGATATGAAGCAGTGGTGTGTCAGAGACAGGATGTGGTGAAGGGTGACTTTCAGGATTAGTAAGTTCTCTGGCCCACGCTGAGTCCAGAGATACTCTCATGAGAGTATCAATTCATGAATGCTATGCTCTTCTGCTATCACCACTCTCTTAGAAGAGGAAGGCAAAGATTTTGTGACTGCGCATATTCAAGATTAAACACTATCAGGACTCCTTGGTAGTAACATGAAAGCTACTAACCTTGAGGCTAAAGAGGAAGCCCCGCTAAGCTTGCTTTGTAAGGAAAACCTGCAGGTAATGAACAACTCCCTGCAGGTGGACATCTGTTCACGTCCACCTTTTATGATTCCTACCCTTCTTAGTTTCCACTGAGAAATTAAAAGTAGAAATACAAAATCATAAACTTAGAGGGGCAGTGATGGCACACACTTTTAGTCCCAGTACTTGGGAGGCAGAAACTGGGGGATCTCTGAGTTCAAGGCCAGCATGGACTACAGAGTGATTTCCAGCACAGCCAGGGCTACAGAGAAACCCTGTCTTCAGAAGCAAACAAACAAATCCTGAACTCAAAGAAAATAGCTGTCTCTAATTTTGTAATTCAAATGGATGGCATCACTCTAGTTGGGTTTTTCATAACTAAAATAATTTGAAAGGAGCATAAAAGCATTTTTCAGCTTTCAACATCCATTATCTTTTGATAAAATTTATATGCTACTATAATCTTAATTCACCTAATGAAAAACATAATTGTAGTTTACTATATCCCTAATTCATATAGTTTTAAGAACAGAGTCTGATTAATATTTATGTAGAGAAGTTGCTCTCAAAATGATAAAAAGCTATTTGCCCTTGGACTTAAGAACTTAGTGTTTAAAACTGCTTAAGTAACTTTTTCCAGGGGCTTCCTAATGCTACAGGGTGAGACCCACCCCCTGCCAAAACTAACCATCTTATAAGCACACAATGGGAAAGAAAGCAAGGCATGGCTGTGCATGCCTATAATCCTAGCACAGGGGAGGCTGAGACAGGATTGCCATTAAGTTTCAGGGCACCCTGGGCTACATGGTGAGTTTGAGGCTACCTAGTGTTTTACAGCAAGATCCTATTTCACAAAAACAAAAAGAAGTGTTTCCCAACTAACAGTTGAGTCCTAAATGCAGTCTGTGCAACAGCACATACTTGTGGCTATGTTCACACAGTAAACCATAGAAACACACTGGCTCTGATGGCTCCCTGTAAAGACAGACAGACTGACCCAGTGTTTACTTAGTATTGCTGCCGTTGGTGTCTTCGCTCAGCAGGACCTTAGAGATGCTTACCGTGTGCCCACAGTCCAGGAAAGACAAGCCCAATGCAATCAAACATTGCCAACCCTGGAAGAGAAAGCAAAACTGTTACTCACCCACTAAGATGGCACATCCTCGATATGCAGGGACACACCTATTATCTGCCCCAAACATCAAGCTCTGTCCATTTCTTTCCACCAAGGGTTGCCCAAGTCAGGCTCTCAGCTTCTCTCCTGCTTCAAAACACCCCAGAATTTCCTTCCAAGGATTTTCAAAACTGGGTTCCCCTTGTTCCTAGGGCTCTGTGTTTATGACTTGTTTCACTCAATGGGAACTCTCTGGTGGCCATTTCTCATTAGTTTCTCAAGGATACGGAGAACGGCTACATTAGCAGTAAAACAAGCTACTCTGCGAAGCTCCTGATACAGAGCTAAGCAGCAGTAACCAAGATGTAGAATCCACCCGACCTCCATATTTGGGGCTTGGAAAATCTCACTAGTCTGAGGATTTTCATTCAACTCACACCCAATTTGCATGAAGGAACAGCTGGCTGAACTTCTAAGAGAATTTTAAAACAACTCCTGCCAAGGATACATACAGTTATCTGGTTTCCAAAGTCCTATGGTGAATATAACCTTGTATGCCCAAGGTTTATTGGAAAGGGAAAAAATTCACCGACCCAAGGCACATATTAAAATATGCATTGACATTTTTCTCCAATGATCCTAGTGTGTGGTAGACACAGGATGTGTGGACTGAAATGCTCTAGAGAGAGCAGAAGGGCTTTAGCCTTCAACATTCTCCACAGCAGACATGAGCTAAGTTTTGCTGTTTCTTAACCCCAACCTTAGTATGAGCTCTGTATTAAACACATAATAATTGAGTCTGTTCTTATTACTATATATTTTTCACTAGTAAAAGTAGTGAGAAAGATGGGAAATAGAGAGTACACCTATATTTGCCCTCTGTATGTGTGTGTGGCTTATGACTTGCAGAGGCCATTGGAGATCACCATGTTTCCTGTTCTGTCACTTATTCCTGTGAGACAGGGTCTTCTGCAGAATATGTAGCTAGGCTGGCAGGCCTCAGCAATTCCACTACTGCCTCCCTTCCTCCGGTGTTGGGGTTACAGATACACACAACCACACCCATCTATTAACATGGGTCTTGGGGATTTGAACTCAGGTCCTTATGCTTGCTGTGCAACCACTGAGCCATCTTGTTTCTCAAACAAATCATTAACATTCTCTTTAGGAATTAAATATTGGGTCCTTCCTTATAAAATCAACAAAAATAGAAAAATACTAGGTATTAAAAACTAAAATAAGACAGGCATAGTGGCGCACGCCTTTAATGCCAGTACTCAGGAGGCAGAGGCAGGCGGATCTCTGGGAGTTTGAGGCCGCCTGATCTACAAAGTGAGGTTTAGGATAGCCAGGACAGTTATACTGAGAAACCCTGTCTCTAGAAACAACTACCCCTTGCCCCCCAAAAAACTAAAATAAATTTGATGATTCAAAATACAAACACCAGGCTGAGAATAGAGTGCAACATTAGAATGTATGCTTGGTATTACATAAGCCTGTTTCATCTCCAATACTAAAAAACAGAACTTCAGAAACAGCTGATTTGACAATGCCATATGAACTGCCTCAGTGAACTGCTTTGGGGACCATTCATTTCCAAAGGACAGTCAGCCCCTCCTATACCATCCCAGATACCCAGTGCCCCTGCTCCCCTCACACTGGACTCACCAAGTAAAACACAAAGCCCAGGTAGGCCACGCTAACCACTGCAGCCACTACATACAGTGCCACATGCCCTAGTTCCTGGACGTACACCACTACAAAGTACATGTTGATGGAGCAGACAATGAGGACCAAGATTCCACCGGCAATCCTCCAGCCTCTGCAAGGAAAGGAGTGCATAAATGTGCAATAGCTCAACTGGGCCACAGACAGAAAACAAAGCCATGTCTCATGTGGGGCATGGGCTGAGGGAAATACAAAAAGAGGGTCAAAGTTAGTGATAAAGCAGAAGGGGAAGGGGCTGGAGGCAATAGAGACTAGCATTTATCTATTATTAATGTGTGCATATGACATGTACACATGCTACAGCATGCATGTGAAGGTCAGAGGCCACTTTTCTCCTTCATCCTCTATTTGACTTCCAGGGATGGAACTAGATCATCAGGCTTACGTGTCAAGCATATCTAACCCTAGGAACCAGGAGGTTCTAGAAATGCAGCCAGGTCATTAGACATTGGAACACAGCCAGGAATGGAGTCGTGTGAGGACAATCCTGAGCTCGGTGAGAAAAATTCAAGCAAACAAGACAAGAGATTTGTGAGCTCAGTTTCTCCAAATCATGGAACTGTCCTTGGGATGTGTTTTGTGTCCCTCCGAGGTGCGGGGGGTAGGAGTGAGTCTATTTCAGGTCACTCATTATTGCTTGTTGCTGTTATTCAATTAAATGTTTAAACTATCCTTTGTGTGCCTCTATGACAAACACGTTTTTGCCACATGCTGCTAGTCCTTGTGTATACATCTTCAACTCATGACAATGGCACATGTGTGACCATCTTAACCCTCAGAGTATAAACTGTCTGAGGCTCTGAATAAAGGTGGCCATTGCATAGTCTTCTTTAGTCCACCCATTTGTCAGCTCCACTCTCCCAGGCCCCACTGCCTCTAGTCTAGAGTGGTGACAACTAGAGGGTGTGGAAACCTAAGCCAGCCCACTCAGGGCAGCCCTATTAACCAGCCAGCATGTCCTGAACAGTACAAGAAAGAAGTAAGTTAGCTTAGGGCAAACATGCAAGCAAGGATGTGCTTATTCCCTTCATTCTAAGAGTGGATATGACATGACTAGCTGTTTGAGTTCTGCCTCGACTTCTCCCAGAATGATGGGCAGTAATTTGGAATTTTAAGACTTTAAATAAACTTTTCCACCTGATGCTGCTTGTTGGCACGGAATCTGTCATAGCAGCAGAAATGGCGTGAGAACACATATCCCTTCAAGGTGTGCACAGAAGGTATTATTAGTGTATGCCTATCTTGTATAATATAACACAGAGTTCAAACCTCAGTGGCTGAGGGGGTAGAGCTAGAGCGCGAAGGTCGGAAGTGCTCCTCCTCCTTTCCTGTAACTCAGTGCTCCTCCTCCTTTCCTGTAACTCATGCTCACCAGTTTCTTTCTAAGCCAAAGAGGAAGCAGCTAGAAGTTGTTCTGGAAACATATAGTTCTCCTAGAGAAGACATTTCTGACTGGCCTACTAAGTAAAAATCCCCCTTCCGTGTACTTCTGGAGAATGATGACAAGTGTACTCACATTCCATTGGAAAACTCACTCATCACTGGCCGCAGGCTTGTGAACGTGAGGATGGGTATGAGAGCAAAGGGAAGCTGGAAAAAAGGAGATGGAATTATGTGGGTGTTAGTTCCATCTCTCAAGTGCCATCAAACACTATTCGGAAAAGCAACTTGGTGAGGGTGCTGGGGATCATCTGGCTTACACTTCCAGGGCACAGTCTCTCACAAAGAGAAGTCAGAGGAGGACCTGGGGAACACTTTGGAGGGACGCTGCCTGGCTCTGGCACCCTCTCCCTCCACATCAAGTGCGGAAGCTGCTATTCTTCAGTTGAGGGTCCCGATTCCCAGAGTACATGAGGTTACTGCACCACCACAGACACCAGCACAGTTCACAAAAAGGAATCAGAAACCCTACCTCACCTATGCCATGGGTAATAGTCACTCCTATCACCTTGCCTTTGCCAAACATTATTTTTAACCAAGAACTAATCATGATCCTGAGTGCCTTTGTTTAAACACAAAAAGACAAAAAATTGGGGGCTGGAGAGATGGCTCAGTGGTTAAGAACACTTGGTTTGCTGCTCTTCCACAGGCCCTGGGTTCAATTCCCAGCACCCACACGATAGCTCACAGCTATCTGTAACTCCAGTATTAGGGGAATCGGATGCCCTCTTCTGAACACTTCAGGTTCCAGGCACACACACAGTTCTCATATATACACACAAAGGTAAAACACTGATACACATAAATAAAAATAAATAATATTAATAAATAAATAACATATTGGGTATACTTGTCTCATAACCTCCATAGGAGTTAGTGGTGTTATCAGAATTCATTTAATGATTTACCCTTGCTGCGTTAATGAGGTATAATGTTGTGGGGTTTTATGTATCACTAAGTTACTTATTTATCTGTGTGTGAGAGGGAGAAACAGACAGACATGCCCATGCTATGGCTGAGTATGGAGATCAGAAAACAACTTCTGCAGACAGTTCTTTCCTTTTACTGTCTTCAGGGGATCTAATTTAGGTCTTTCCACTTGTACAATTGCACAGCCAACACTTTGCCACTGAGCCATCTTGGTGGTCTCAAATTTGTGTTTTCTATGTTAAGCAGAGCTTAACATAATCTCCATCCAGTGAACTTCCATGCCTTTTCCTTCCTCTCACTTACCCCTAGTACCCAGCCTCCAGCATGAGGCTTGGCACCCAAGGCAAGATTTACTGCCAACTAAGTGCAACGTGGGCTTCCCCATCTCCCTGCTCACCTGTAAACTCTGCAGAACATTCAGAAAGTCATTCATCCCTGTTAGATGCTCTACATCTTGGAAGACAGCAACAAGCAGAGTGGGGATGATGGCAATGGAGCGTGTCAGGATCACTCGGGCAAAACGTGACCATTTTAGGTTCAGGAATCCCTGGAAGAAAGCACGGGGCTGGTGACTGCATGTGACAGGAGAAATAGAAATGGTTGGGGAAGTTAGGAAAGCTCATAGAAGCATGGAGTTAGACATTTAAGAGCTGTGCCATCCCCCTGTATTCAACCCCAGCACACACCTCCATAACAAACTGGCCAGAATAGGTTCCTGTCATGGTGGAGCTCTGTCCTGCAGCGAGGATCCCCACTGCCCAGATGTAGAGTGTCGCTGGCCCAAAGTAACATCCAAGCACGACACCCTGGGAGGAGATGGGAGGAGGGGATTGTCAGTGCTTAGATAATACCCAGAACAGCAGCCCTCTGCAGCTCCCCCCTCTCCTCGCGAACCACCAACACACCAAGTACTGTGCTGGACACTGCACAGGAGTGAGACTCAGTGCTGGGTCTGACTTGGAAGCTTCCAGTCTCGATCTGCTGGGTGTCCCTCCATCCCTCCTTCATCTCTAACCTCCACTTCAAACTAAAGAAGCAGAACCCACACTTCCCAAAGCGTGTTCCTTAATACCCAGTTCTGAAAAATGGAGGGAGGAGTACAGACAGTGAACCGTGTGGGGGCTGCAGTGTAGACATATTCTGTTCTTGGGAGTCACAAGGGAAGCAGCATGAAGGACCCAAGAGGGTCTAGGAAAGACACCTTAGTAATTTGCCTGTTTTAGTAATTTACCTGCAGTCAATGCCTGCAGAACTTTACAGTTCTGTGCAACTCATCAGCCCATCCTCTACCCTACCCCATCAGAACCCAAAAGGTGTAGCTGGCATATGGGCCTCAGAAATAAAACACTCAAGAGGAGTTATGCGTAGATCTGAAATGAACTCACGAAAAGGCCAGAGGATATGCAAACACCCCAGAACAGAGACTGCAAACCAGTGCTCTCACTTACCCCTTTGTAGATGTCCACAGCCAAAGTTGAGTTGTCATTAGGAAAGAGGTCGGTATGCGGGCTGCTGCTATTTCTACAGACATTAACCTAAAGCCCAAAGCAGTTTAAGAACAATTTTTGTCTTAGAAATGAGAAGCAGATAAGAGCCCTGTATTTGTCTCACGAAATTCCTCTGCATGAGATAAGCAGAGGAAGAAGCACTACAGGGCAGCAGTGTGGGCAGCACCTGGTGCATCTCCACCTGTAACCCTCCCCAGGCCTTTTTATCCTCTGCAGCATCAAGATGTTTACTGAGACAGAGTTTGCATGGCAATATGCTAATGATGAAGCATTTTAAATGCAAATAAGGAGAGAAGAACTAAAAGGCTTTAGGGCCAGGCCTGCCTGGGCTACACAGGTAGAACCTATCCCCCCCCCCCCCAAAAAAAAAACCCTAAAAAGAATTGCTGGGTATGGTGACACATGTCTTTAATCCCAGTAGTTGGGAGGCAGAGGCAGGTGAATTTCTGTGGACTCCAGACTAGCCTAATCTACATAGTTGAGTTTCAAACCTCCAGCCCCCAGGACTACACAATGAGACCCTTTTTCAAAAACCAAAACCCAAACAAAACAAAAAAGGGAAAGCAAAACAGAAAGCTTCAAATGTGAGAGGGCATTAGCAATCAGAAGACCTTGGCAAAGCAGAACCAGGGGCCAAAAGGTAGACATAAATGATGACCAAAACTAGATAGGAATGCAGGTGAGCAGCTCCATGGTGGAACCCATGCTTAGCATCACAAGGTCCTGGGTTCAACCATGGAGTCTTAAAACACTCCAAAATAAACAAAAAACCTCAACAACAACAACAACACCCAAACAAAAAAAACCCAACCAAACAAACAACCCCCCCCAATCCAAACAAAAGGAGAGATAATTCAAAATGAGCCAAGTCTTGCCCTTTCAGAGCAAGCTTCCTTCTTGCTGACTCCGCCTCCAAACCTGTCCTTGGCACAACTATCAAGACTAGCAGATAGCAGACATAAGCTAATAAAAAGGAAACAGAAATAATGATAACCAAACAGCCAAGATGCTACCTCTATGACAGATAGCATGAGGCCATGTGAGTCAAAGGCGGCTCTCTCCAGCTCACTCCTGGAATGGGTGGAGCAGGCTTCCTCAACCCACACCACATCAACCCACACCACAGACTGCTTGGTGTGTAGAGATGGAGGAATAGGGGACACCTAGGCCTCAAATGCATTTCCTTGGGTTCCAAGTCAATGCTTTTTTCTGCCCCGGTCCAGCATGCAGTTCACTCTAGTATTCACCACCCATGACCCTGGCTTACTTACCACCTGCTCATTGGTTTTCCCAAAAAATGCTTCGGCAAAGACGGAGACAACGAAGACATTGATGATGAAGGAAACAAAGAGCGCAATGCAGGACTCAATGAAAAAGTACTTGTTGGCTTCTCGGACTTCCTGCTTATTGGCCCGGTTTACCTGCCTAGACTGGAGAGACAACAGCAGCAGTCATCTTTCCACCAGACGCAGAAAGCTCCTTTAACAACTCAGAACTTTGGAGTCAGCTGAAAGATTAAGAGGGTAAACAACTGACTAGAAAAATAGGAGATCTTTGCTCACTAAGCTACGAAGAACTCCACAACCTTTGACAACATTGTACAACCCCCAAATGGTAGAGCCAGCAACCAGGTGACTTACTGAGTTCCCAGAGACTAATCTCAGTGCTGAGGCTACTGGACTAATTATCCACAATCTCAGCAAAGGAAGGTCTGACTGTGAAAGCCCTCCTTCCCTCCAGACCTCTAGACTCCCAGATCTTTCTTGAAGAACACTAGCCTGGAATTGAGGGTCACTTTTCCTGGTCAATTTTGTGCTAAACACGGACTAGCCAGTATAAGAAATACCATGCTCCAGCAGTTATAAACTAAGTTTGCATCCCTTATACTTAAAGGGAAATCTCCCACAAACAATACAAAAGGGCACTGCTCACCTTGACTAAGGCAGAATGCAGGTACATGTTGTGTGGCATGATGACAGCTCCCACGATGCCCACAGCCTGCTCAACCTGTGGGGTGCTACAGCCTGAACAGGATGGCACGAACATGCCCCTGAGTACTTGGCTCTGGTTGGGCTTCACTGTAACATACTACACAGCAACATAACACCTATTAGGCTTTACTGGAACATGGATTGGGGAACATAGCACCAGGCACTGGCATCCTTCACTCCTTTACCCTCTCAACTACCTGGACTAGGGATATGGAGTCATCAACAAGTACTTGCCTATTGTGCACAAGGCCCTGGGTTTAACTGCAGCATCATCAATGAATGGGAACAAAGGGCCGCTGTGGTCTGAATGTAAACTGTCACAGGCTCACAACTGGACTCAAGCCCCATTACACTTGTACTCTTTGGGGATGTGATGGAAACTCTGGCAGGTGGAGGCCCCCTGGAAGAAGTAGGTCAGTGGGGGCATCCCTGGCCCTAGCTGTGTCCTGCATCTCTGTGCTTCTGTTGGCACTGAGGTAGTCTCCTACACCATGTCTCCAGCAGCCAGGGTATTCTGCCCAAGGAACTGCAGGCCAGAGCGAGCCCTCCAAAGCCCTAGCTACCTATACCCTTTACCCTCCTGTTACTTTCCTCAAGTATTCTGGTTACAATAATCAATGATAACTAATACCAGGGCTTGTTTCCAGAGGTCAGAGGATTCAGGACTATATATTCTGAATATCTTACATGACACTTAAAATGTACAATGCAGATATACAGAGAACACAGTGTTCTGAGGAAACAAACGGGCTAAAGGTCTTATTATTTACGTCACTGTAACTGCTGATACAGATCCAAGAATAGTCCAGTTCTTGAACCCACCCCCCTCACACTGTCCACCCTTGCTTGTCTAGGAACTACCTCTGTTTGCCACCCGTGTGTAGGGAGTGGGCCATTCCTTAGCACTGCTCACCCAAACTTGCTCCTGGCTCAGGATTTCTTTTACAAGCATTGGGACAACCTGAAAAAAATCTACTTATAGACTAGATAAGTAGAAACTGGTTTACAACAACTGGACATTAAAAAGGTATGATAGGCAAGACACAAGCCAGAAAAATAATCAATCACTTATTACTCATCAACAGGTTTTCGGTTGTTTTTTTTGTTTGTTTGTTTGTTTTTTGTCTCACTCTATAGCCCTGACCTGGAACTCTCTAGGTAAATCAAGCTGGCCTCAAACTCACAGAGACAAGGCTGTCTCTATTTAGTAGCTAGTATTGAAAGTATGAACCACCACACATATTTAAAACCACCATCAGCTGGTTTAATACAGGAACCAGTCAAGCTGTAATGAATTAATTTCGGCCATGATGAGCATAAAGAGAACTGCTTTGAGTTAGCAATTGAGAGTAACCTTCTGTCTGTCCCACCCCAAAGCTGGTCTGCTGTCTGGGTAGCCAGCTGATTTGGTACTGAAAATGCTGGTCTTGAAAGGCCTAGTCACTTTTGACCCCAAAATCTCTACAGGCCTTCCTGCATATGAATACTTGTCACAGACTACATCCTTCAAAAGCAGCCCAGAAGTACACTGGCTTTTTGTTGATTTAATACAATCAAACTATTCTGGCCTTATTATTGCTTTTTATAATAAAAGATTACAAACAAAACAAAATGAAACTTTGTTTAAAATAGTTAACCAACAGCCTGGAACACTTGCCTCATATCCAAATGTGAGGGCCATAATAGTGATGAGAAAGCCAAAAAATGCTTCCAGCTTCCGCAAGCCTAAAGGGGAAATGCAGCAGTGAACACACAGAAGACAAACTTCCCCACAGCCATGTGCCTGAAGCCAGAGGCTTTGATGCACCCACCAGTTCTACTGTCCTTACCATATTTGTCCAAAAAGAGAAATACAAAAGTATCCGCAATGGTGATGAGAACTCCACCCCACAGGGGAACCCTAGGTTAGAGACAGAGAGATTAAAGGCCCAGCGAAGAGGCTTTCTTCACATCTAGTCCCACACAGAAAGAACACCAGGGTCCCCAGGTGGGCCTGGGGAGCAACCGTGGCAGGAAGCCATGGTGGTTGAGAAGCAGCATCCACTAAAGGACACCCACTGGCACTCACCCCTGAGAGCTTACTGTGTCTGATGTGTAGAACAGACAGCCAAAAAACATGGGTCAGACACAAAAGGACCCCACTATGCAGTGACAAAAGCAGCCCTTCCTTACAAATGAGTAACTGTACAAAGTGCCACACAGCCCATTTAAATAAGTGCACATCATGGGAGTGAGAGCTGCAGAGACCATGTCTGCTGGGGAAGGTGAGGGTGGCTCTGGACAAGCTGAATACTGAATTTTGAAAATGAGCTGGCTCTCCATTTCACCCCATCTTTGGGATCCAGCTCAATACTGACAGTGTTCAAGAGGGAAGCCCCCACCTTCCTGCAGACAGGAGATTGATGGCGATGGCTGAGCCAATGACTTCCTGCATATCAGAACCAATGATGGCCAGCTCCACCATCAGCCACAGGATAATCCGTGGGACCTACAAAGCAAAAGATGATTCTGATCATTCATTTCCAGAACTTCCTCCTGCATCTGGAATTCAGAATTTGGCACAGACAGCCTTCCATAAGCCCCCAGACTCGAGAGAAATACCAGAACTCAGCCCTACAGAGTAGGAAAGTGTGCTTCCTGTGGCAAACTGTAAACCCAGGGAAGGGTGGCAACCCAGCTCTTTGCTCTCCTTAATCCTTCTCAGGAGGTGCAATCTCTATTTACTTTCTACTTTTTCTCTTGCCTAAAAATAATCTAAAAAGTTTCAGGGGAAAATAAATATACAAATATGGTCAACATGGAAGTCAAGAGAGAACAGGAAATAAGCAATGAAGAAAACCTCTATCAAGCCAGGCAGTGGCGGTTCATGCCTTTAATTCCAGCACTCGGGAGGCAGAGGAAGGTGGATCTCCGTGAGTTTGAGGCCAGCCTGATCTACAGAGTGTGTTCCATGACAGCCATAAGCAAGCAAGAAACAAATATATATATACACACAATTATCTGGGTAAGGCGTTAGAAAAATGGCTCAGGACTAAAAGCACAAGACCAGATCTCAGGCGACTGACAACGCCTTCAGCCACAGGGGAACCCGGAGCCTCTGGCCTCTACAAATGCTCATAGTCACATGTATATATCCAAATACATACACACAATTTTAAAAAATAAAAATCCTGCTTAAAGTGTTCATGGTAAAGCAGTTGAGAATAGATGGAAATTAGCCAACTAAGAAAGTAAATCTAGACCAACAAATGAATGGAAAAACAAATTTAGTTATTGTTGGCTTACTGACACCAAAAAGAAAGCCTCCAGATACTATCCAAAAAGTTTCCTGTCACAAATAGCTATTAATATGCACAAAGAAAGGACATCAAAGGGAATTATAAACAGCAACATTTTCTAAACAGTTGGTAAAAAAAAAATTTATATTTACCACACATGGTGGCACATGCCTATAACACCTATACTCAGGAATCCTAACAGGATATTCAAGAGTTCAAGAACATCCTAGGGGAGAGGGAGGGAGGGATGGAGGAAGGATGAGAGGGAGGGAGACCACTGACCCACCAGCCTAAGAGAATAGAAAAGAAAAATAAGACAATACCTCTATGTTCACAGTCAGAAATGAGACTAAACATTTAGGGCACATCCAAGGGAGGCCTGTTTCATATCTACAAGTGAACTAACTTAAAAATGCTTTTTAGCCATGACAGAAATGATTCAATCTCTAGGGTACTGGTCAAGTACATGTGAAGGTCTGAGTTTTATCCTCAGCACCCCCTGCAAAAACAGAGGTCATTCCCACTTTAGGTGGCAAGTAAGAAAGCTAAGATACTTAAAAGAATACTATAGGTTCAGAGTAAATTGAAAATAACCAGCATATCCAAAGGTCCTACCACATATACTTTGCAAAAACAAAAACAAAAAAACATCTTTTAAAAGTGATTATAACATCAAACAAAATAAGGAGTTACTAGTAAATGCTTACTCCTGCTGAATTCCCTTAAGGAAATGTGTGTGTGCCTGTAATTCTAGGAATTAAGGGTTGAAAGAACTGTTAGGCATTCAGTTCAATGTGAGCCTGGGCTGCATGAGCCTGTCTCAAAACAACAACAAAAAAGTGAGTCCCATGTTAGATTCTGAAGGAAGACACGGGCTGACAGCAGAAGCATTAGGATCCCCTTGGTACTCCTATGTTCAGGGACACTGGCCCAATCCGGTCTGGCACATAATGCCAGACACACAGATTGCAGCATGGTAGCAGACAAGCATGACAGCACGCCACTCACCTTGGGATACTGACGGTGACACACTTCAGCGAGATGCAAACCGGTGACTACTCCAAGTCTAGCTGCAAGGCGCTGGAGCAGCAGCCCAACGATGGTAGCCAGCAGAAGCACCCACAGCAACTAAAGAGAACATCCCCAACACTCATTAGGCTACTAAAGGGCTTTTTGCCTGGTTGCTTGGGAATGTTAACCAGGAACAGTTCACTCAGGGCAGAGCCAGATCAGGGAGTTACTTCCAAGCCCTGTATCAGCTTCTACACACGACCCACTAGGCAACTGGCATCTTTCTGATCCTCGGTTTCCCATCTATTGTTTCCCTAAGGAAATTATGTGGATAAAACAGAGACCATGCCAGGTGGTGGTAGTGGTGCACACCTTTAATTCCAGCACTTGGGAGGCAGAAGCAGGCAGATCTCTTGTGAGTTTGAGGCCAGCCTGGTCTACAGAGCGAGTTCCAGGACAGCCAGGGTTACACAGAGAAACCCTGTCTTGAAAAATCAAAACCAAACTAAACAAAACCCAAGAGGCCACATAGCAAGGCCTCTTCATGCAAGTGTCACTGCCAATGAAGACCTGTGCATGCTGGGACAATGAGGGAAGAGAATGGCCATGGGCTCCTAAGTCTGAATACGGTGGGGAGGATCAGAAAGTGTGGTCTTGATGGAGGTGTGTCACAGGGACAGTTATGAGACTTCAAAGGCCCAGTGCCATTCCCAGTATCCTCTCTGCTTCCTGTTTCTGGATCAAGATAAGCTCTCAGCTGTCCCCACTGCTCACACATTTGCTCTACCATCATGGGCTCTAAACCCGCTGAAATTGTAAGCCCAATTAAAAGTTGTTTTGCCTTGGTTTAAAAGTTGTCTTGACATAGTGTTTTGTCACAGCATTAGAAAAGTAACTAAGATAGGAAGCCAGAGACACCAAGCCCCAGACTCCTCTGCCATGCAATCAAAAGTTTTCATATAACATTTTATCCCCTAAAACTTCACTAACAGCCTATTTATCAGAAGCCATACCAATACTGCAACCAAAAGGCCAAGAGCAATTGGCATGAATAACACAGGTGGTGAGAACTACTTGACAACCCAAGAAACACTTTTTACTGATGTGCATCACTTACTGAGAAACTGCTCGCAGTGACGTGACCAGCCCACAGCATTGTAAGCAGAGAACATGAGCTCACAAGAGCACCAGGTGCTAACACAGAAGGACACACACATGCCGACTAACGGCATATGATAGGACACATCTTACATTTGCTTTTATTTCTTTCTCTCAACTGAGAACAGCTCCACGGTGAACTAGGTGCGTGTGTGCAGAGGATGGGGTACATTTTAACCTTTTTGCAGTAGATGTTCATATATCCTAGGATAGTAAATTATAAAACAGATTACTATCTGAGCTGGGCATGGTGGTACACACCTTTAATTCTAACATTTGGAAGACAGAGGCCAGTCTGGTCTACATAGTGAGTTCCAGGATAGTATGTAAGTAAGTAAAATAGATGATTATCTGTATATATTTTATTCATTTATAACATACCTAACTTTTAAATTTTCACTATTTCTAAGCCATGCACTTCATCTGTGGTTTTCACAAGTTGCTGCTAATCTAGAAAGACCCTACATGTAAGTAGACATGCACAGTTCAAATCTATGTTGTTCAAGGGCCAACTCTACCTGAAGGTAGGATGGGGACAGTAGGGCAAGGCCCTGGAGTCCATCCTCAGCAATAACAACAGGTGGGGTAATACTGGATGCTCACCTTAAATCCAGCCACTGCTCCAGACTGCAAATCAGATTCGATGTTTCCTGGATCCAGGTAGGCAATGCTCATAAGAAAGCCAGGTCCTGTGAACGCCCAGAGTTTACGGAAGCTAAAACAAGAGTACTATAAAAGAGAGAGGAAAAGCAGCCTGAGTGTCACTTGTTCTAAAGTCTCCACTATTTTGTCACATGTCAAGAAGCATCACCACCTGCATGGGATCAGGATGGGCAGTGCATGTGCCCAGGTTTCACAACCAGCTCATCTACTTTTTACCAACAAGAACGCCGCTTTTCTCAATGACAGCCCCTCCTTTACCTGCTCTCCATCAGCAGCCACTCATTCTAAACTAAAGTAACACAGCACGTTATGCTCACATGCTCCCACACAGGAGCAGAGCCATGTCTGAAAAAGGAAAATCCAGCCGGGCGGTGGTGTCGCATGCCTTTAGTCCCAGCACTTGGGAGGCTGAAGCAGATGGATCTCTGTAGGTTTGAGACCAGCATGGTCTACAAGAACTAGTTCTAGGACAGCCTCCAAAGTTACACAGGGAAACCCCTGTTTTGAAAAACAAAACAAAAAACCCAGACAAACAAAAAAAGAAAGACACAAAACCCACACTTACACACATTACAAAATGCTCACTAATACCACTTAGCACCTTTCCCAAAGGTTTATTTATCCTGGTGATGTCAGGAGACCCAAGGTTGTTGAGCCACAGGTGGCTGGCAGATCTTTCCCTTGAAGGCTTTCCCTAGGACACATGGTGCCCTGTGAAGAACCATCACTTACCTCCTCTTCAGGAATGGGGATCTTCTCGTCAAAGTAGGTGGTGAAGAGCTCCTCTGAGTCCCCAGTGGACTGCGGGAGGGAGGAGTTACTATAGGCAGGGTTGATGGTACTAAGACTGGCAGAGTCTCCATGGTCTCCAGAAGCGCCATCTGTGTTAAAGGAACAAAGTCCACTGATAGGCATTCTCAGTCATGCTGCAATCAAAATTTTCCCCTCATGGGGAACGATCCCTTGTCTAGTACATGCTCAGCCATCACCAAACAACAGCTTTAGACCCAAAATTAATTTATCTTACATCTGCACACACAAGAGACCAGCCTGCCTCTATCCTAAATGATTTAATCAATCTACATTTTAAAATAAATGAGCATATTTATTTAGAGACAAGGTCTCATGTAGCCCAGGCTGGTTTGTGCCAAGTTCAAGATGAGTCTGAACTGGGTCCTCCTGCATCTACCTCCCTGGGAGGTAGCTGGGATCACAGCCACCGCACCTGGTTTTATATGGCGCTGAGGACTGAACCCAGGACTTCATGCATGCTAGGTAAGCTCTCTATAACTGAGTTACATCCTCAGCCCCATATATTAAATGTCTTTACAGGGTAATATGTGCACATGGTGGCTGTGGTACAAGCCTACACCCCTAACTCTTAGAAGCTAAGAGAAGACTGAGACTTCACAGTCAATCTGGGCTACACAGCCAGACCCCATCTCAAAGGGGATACAAAAAGGCCTCCAATAGCTCTCTCAGTCTTGGATCAATTTAGCATATTTTATTACTCCTCTGAGAATTTCACAAAATGTATTTTGATGACACTCAGTTGTTACCCCTACTTATCCCCTTAACTCCTCTCAGATCCATGCCCTACCTCCTCCAATTTTGTGTCTTCCCTGGATCAACTTTAACACTAAACACCATACTTTTCTTATTCTACACCTCTACAACCCACTTGATAGTTTTTAGAATCACTTCACTTTTCTCTAAGAACACTGACATGCCTGAAAGGCTAAATCAAAAGGATTACAAAGTTTAAGGTCAGCCTAGACTACAATTTAACAAGACTTTGCCTTGAAACAAATGAACGACTCATACCTATGACTCAACATTGACCCACTAGTAACTCAGAATCCTAATTTTTTAATTTTATTTATTTTGGTTTTTCAAGACAGGGTTTCTCTGTGTAACTTTGGAGCCTGTTCTGGAACTTTCTCTTAAGACCTGCTGGTCTTGAACTCATAGAGATCTGCCTGCCTCTGCTTCCCAAGTGCTGGGACTAAAGGCATGCGCTACCAACGCCCAACTCAGAATCCTAATATTTTGGAGAAAGTAAGATAGTCAACTAGGACATCCTCCCATCCCATCACCCCACAGGACTTACTCTAAGAATCATTCTTGGGTACCATAGCTCTATCAGACTCACACAATAGAAAAGAGGACTGCAAAACCCTGCCAGAGTTCAGACTACATCTGACACTAAAGGATATGTCTAAGCAGGAAGCCTAGGAGCCCTGACTAAGGTCTAAGCATAGGACTGAAGGGCTGGTGGTCACGGGTGCTAGCACCCTTTCGACAGTAGGAATCATAAAAGCCCTAGAGCAGTGTTTCCCTGAAGTCTGCATTTTACAGTCAATCTTAAATGCAAGGGAGGGAGGAAGGCCTAGCAGAAAAGGGCTAGTCCACAGAAGCATATAGAGTCCACTGAGCTGCAGGCATCACATAGCTTTCTTCTCTTTCCCATAAATCCTTACATCAACTAAAAAAACCAGAGCTCTGATTTTTTTTCTTGGTCCTCACCATCTTCACTAAGCAGAAAGTGGCCAATCTAGAGGAGGAGCTAGATTCAGACAGGTCCCTGTGTGTTCCTGCTCTGTACACTTCTGAAACACTGGCAGATATAGTGGGCACATTGGAGGTCACTGCCTAGTCTGGGAATGACACTGTCCTTGCAAGCATTACTGTTCTAGAAACCAAACTAGTTATCACTCAGCTGGCAATTAGAAGTAAGATGTGAGGCAGAATTCTATAAAACCATAAATTCATTTCATTTGTAGCAGATAAGACTGCTGATTGGATTTCTTAAGACAGAAAACAAAAACAGGGACAACCTGTCACTGACTAAAGCCCAATCCCATGCAGATAATGACATGAAGCTGTAAGTTACCATCTGGCATCTTTTCTTCAGGATCCAACACCATGGCAGATACCTGAGTGTCTGTGTTCTTAGAATAAGATTCTATAAGAGAACAGAAAAGTGAAGGATTAGCAAGACTAGAACTAACACATTGTCGCTGTATGGCTGAACCTTTGTATGAAAGGAACAATCCCTCTACTCAATTAGCTAACCCTGAAAATAATCACAACTTTTAAAACAGTATTAAGAGATATTACCAAAAGCAATAATAAAAGGTGAGGCCAGGAGGGTGGTAAGACTGGGCGCTAACAAGCCCCAAGAAGCCCACGTGTGTAGTGCCTCAGTACTGGGGGTCCAAACAACACCAGAACCACACTTGGTTCTCATGGGTTTCTAATTCTATGCACAGCAGAGAAACCAGCTGACAAATCTCTTTGGTTTCTGTTGTTATTGTTGTTATAGTTTTTTGAGACAGGGTTTCACTATATAACAGCCCTGGCAGTCCTGGGACTCGTTTTGTAGACTAGGCTAGCTTCAAACTAACAGACATCCATCCACCTGTCTCTGCTGGGATTAAAGGCATGAGCCACCACTGCTAGCTCCTACCAAATCTGTTTTAACATGCACTAACAGGCTGCCAATCAAGAAGACTTTGCCTCAATATTAACCTATTATTATTAGTCCAAATTAACCCAAAATAGCCTCAAAATTAACCCAAATATCTAACACCAGAATAATCTTCTTCAAAATTCACAACTTTTAAAGAACAAAAGGAAACCAGATTTGTAATAACAAAATTTAGAAGATGGAGGCAGAATAGGGAAATCAAGATCAGCAGCTATATAATCACAAAAATGAATAAAAATAAAGAAATCTAGACCTCTCTGGCCCACCTGACAGTTTAAACTCATGATTCAGTTTTTTGGAAAGGTGGGGGGATGGGAGGGGAGGGTGTTTAGAGTGCATGTGAGAGGGCAGAGAGGGTAAAAGGGAGGGAAGGAGGGAGGGGGAACTGGGATCGAAATGTAAAATAATAAATTTTAAAAAATGCTTTGACTCCAAAATTTAAGTTGAAGGACAAGTTACTGGGGAAAAGGATTTCTATTTTTGTTTCCACAGAAAATGAAAAGATGTGGATTCCTTCCAGACTAATGTGGTTTGATCACGCCAGACTGCCTGAAACAGAGTACAAGCTGATCCTACATTCAAAACAGCTGGACAAAACAGCCCTACAGACTACAGCTAGGATATCTGAATCTTCTTCGAATCCCCCAAGACAGCGCCCCCTACCAGCAGGAAGTAGTTTGGAAAGAACGACGCCCAAATATTGTATATAAATGTTTGTTTTCATTTAATTGGACTTTGTTATATAAAATTAAATAAAAAAAATCAATGCTAAAAAAAAAGAAATAATAAAGTTTATAATGGACAAAAAAAAAAAAAGAATATTCAGTGTAGGTAATGCACTTAAAAGAGATTTCTTAAAATCCAAAACAGGTTTTAAAAGGAAAGTGGGCCATCAAAATGGCTCAGTGGGTAAAGGTGCTTACTGCCAAAGCTGATGATCTGAGTTCAATCCCCCAGAACCCACATGGGGAAAGATCAACCCCCCCAAGTGTCTTCTGACCTCCCCACACTCAATGTGCCAACTACATACATACACACATACACACACACAAACTTAAAAAATAAAAATCAAATATTTGATGTTATTGTGTATTTTTATCTAATATAAGTAGGCAAGTAAATTGTAAACATTTTAGAGTACATTTTGTTTTGTGGTTTTAGTTCTTTTGAGATAGAATTTTATACTGAAGCCAATGCTGACCTGGAACTTGAGGCTATGATCACATCTCAGCCTGCCAGCTGAGCAGGATTAAAGTTTTGAAGTTACTAGCAGCATTCTAAGATATTCCTATACCAGTACACAGAAAGCCAACAAAACACAAAGCATCTGGTCATTTCTGGAGTCTCAAGAATGTACCCTCAAAAGGGAACAGATTCTACAATACAATTTACTCAAACAGCCAAGCCACAGTCCTACCGTTTACACGGCCTGCAGGATCCATTGGGGCAGAGGACAGAAAGGGAAGGGACACCCTTGGTATTGCACAGGTATTGCACCTTGTTTCAGCCATCCCACTGCATCAAGGGAAAGATGCAGCCTTAGAGAACACAGGCAGCAGGCTGGACAGATGGCTCAGTGGTTAAGAGCACCAGCTGCTCTCCCAAAAGAGTTGAGTTCAGTTCCCAGCAGTAACTCACAGCTCTCTTAACTCCAATTTCAAGACTCCAACCACCTCATACATACAGGCAAGATACCAATGCACATAAAAAAATTAATAAAATAAAATAGAATTTGTTAGCTGGGCAGTGGTGGCACATGCCTTTAATCCCAGCACTTTGGGCAGGAGCAGCAGAAGCAGATGGGTCTCTGAGTTTGGGGCTAGCCTGATCTACAGAGTGAGTTCCAAGACAGCCAAGGCTACACAAAGAAACCCAGTGTGTGTGTGGGGGGGTGCCTGGTTGAGGGCCAGTGAGGTGGCTCAGCTGATAAAGGTGCTTGCCACTAAGGGTACCCGAATTCCATCCTCATGACCCACATGGGGGATAGTAGAAAAATAAAATAGAATTGACTCCTGAAAGTTTCCAAGTTCTCATTCTCTCCTGTCTCTGTCTCACACACAATAAATAAATAAATAAATAAATAAAGCTATTTAAGGGAAGGAAGAAAAGGCAGTTGGGAGCCAGGTTTGGTGGTTCACACCTATAATCATAGCACTTGCAAAGTGGAGGCATGTAGCCTCAGCTACACAGCAAATGGGAGGCCAGAAAGGATGGACGGACGGAGGGAGGGAGGGAGGGAGGGAGGGAGGGAGGGAGGGGCAGTAGGAAAGCAAAAAGCAGGTCAAAAGGAAGTACTGAGTTCACTTACATCTTTTTTGGCAATAAAAATGCATCACCAGGCACTTGTATTATTGCTATGTGTAGTAATGAGGCTTAATCCCAGGTGCTACAGCAACATACAACACTAGGCCCTTGAGGGAGGGAGGGAGGGAGGGAGGGAGGGAGGGGCAGTAGGAAAGAAAAAGCAGGTCAAAAGGAAGTACTGAGTTCACTTACATCTTTTTTGGCAATAAAAATGCATCACCAGGCACTTGTATTATTGCTATGTGTAGTAATGAGGCTTAATCCCAGGTGCTACAGCAACATACAACACTAGGCCCTACTTAATTTTCTCAAAATGTAAAGTTTCTATAGACTGTCAGAGCCTTTCAGACAGCTGTTCACTGGGAAAATTCTGCCAAAATATCTGATAGAAGTCCAAAGTGGACAGTCAGCTCTACACTATCTAGCGGGCAGGCACTGACAGCCTAAAGCTTGACTTACTTTTCCTCTGTCTTACTGTCCACATAGTGGTTCAAATTGTGAAATGGTTTTCCTCTCAAATACAAGGAACAGAAGTGCCCTTTCCAGAGAGTCACTTCTGACTCTAACTTTAGGGTAAGTGGCCATCCACCAAGTATCCTCAGCGTCCACTTCTTAGCACTAACTTGTCTTCTGAGGTGGTGAGAACATCTATCCCCTGGTGTCCTCCTTGCAATTCTTCTGCTACTTTAATAAGAAAATTTGATTACCTTAAAACCACACATGGTGCACCCCTGTAATCCCAGCATTCCCCAGGCAGAGGCAAGAGGGCTGGTAGGCTTAAGGCCATCCTGATCTGCCTAGCAAGACCCAGCTCAGCTAGGCTCACATAGTAATGTCCTAGTTTAAAGAAACAAAATAACAGGGCTAGAAAGGTAGCTCAGCAATGGCTGCTCTTCCAGAGGACCTGAGTTCAATTCCCAGAACCCACATAGCAGCTCACAACTATCTGTAACTCCAAGTCCAGGAGATCCAACACCATCACACAGACATGCATGCAGGAAAAATAGCAATTCACTTAAAATAAAAGTAAATCATTAAAAAAATGAAACAAAATAAAGTATGAAATACTAAATATATGTATAACTCTAACAAATTATTTCTTCTTATATTGAAAAAGGCTTGAATTTAAAACAATGGTTTCTTATATTTGTCCCCAATAAGAGGTAAAGGCATTCATAGCCATTTCATTTTAAGGTATAGAGAAGAAAGTTTTATTACCCACTTCCCTCACTAGGAAGAGAAGGCAGGACTGTTTGTATAAATTCTAAATCTCCCCATTTCCTGAGCACCCTTTTCCCTTCCTGCCTTCCATTTCAATAAAATCAAAGAACAGGAACTAGAATACAAGCAACCAAAAACAGCATCTGCAAGGAAGTAATTCACAACAGGGATGCTTTGGGTAAATGGCAAAGCCACCTCCTCTGGATTCTTTCCTTAGACACCAGTAAGTTCCAGAGACACAGTGATCACAACATATAAAATATAAAAGTAATAATAATCCAGAAATGGCACTCAGGTGTTTAAAACCTTCTAGTACATTTACATCTGTGTCTCTGTGTGTATGTCTGTATGTCTCTCTGTGTGTCTGTGTATATGTCTATGTCTGTCTCTATTGTGTCTGTGTATGTCTATGTCTGTGTATATGTCTGTGTGTGTGTGTGTGTGTGTGTGTGTATGTATGTGTCTTTGTGTGTCTGTATATGTCTGTGTGTGTGTCTGTGTGTCTGAGTGTGTGCATGTGTCTATGTCTATGTGTGTCTGTGTATGTCTGTGTGTGGACGTGTGTGTGGTAGATGTGTCTGTGTGTGTGTGTATTATGTGTCTTTGTGTATGTCTTTGGGTGTGTATGTGTGTGTGTATGTGTGGTGTGTGTGTATGTCTGTGTGTGTCTGTGTATGTCTATGTCTGTGTGTGTGTGTGTGTGTTGGTTGTGTGCATGTAGGCACTTGTGTAGGTCAGAGGACAACTTCAGTGTCAGTTCTATCCTTCTACCTCAAGGGCTCTGGGGATCAGCCTCGCAACATCTCTCTGGCTTTCATGTACTCAGAAGGAAATAAGGGCCTGTAACCACACCATTTGGAGGCTGAGGCCAGTGAATCACAAGTTCAAGGCCAGCTAGAAAATGCTTAGTAAGATTCTCAGAAAGTTGAGTGAAACCAACTAAAGAAAGCATAAAGATTCCAAGTCTTGCTGGGGGGGGCACTCCTTTAGTCTTAGCACTTGGGTGGGTCTCTGAGTTCAAGGACAGCCAGTCTACAGATCAAGCTCCAGGACAGCCAGGGCTACAAAAAGAAACCCCATCTCAAAAACCCAAAAACAAATAAGCAAAAAAATGACCTTACAATTCACCCTACCCACCTGGGTTCTACTATAATGCCTTTAACACAACACACCCAAGTACAAACAGTGCTATTACACAAAGCCACTATACCTGAATCAGGGCTGGCTCTCTCCAACACAATGGCCATTGAGACACTAGTTGACAGTCATTTTGCTACTTCAAATGCCACAGTAATCATCTCTCCTCCTACTTGTCTTATCCAAGAACTACAATTTCAGCTCAACAACCCAGCATGCTGCCTCTCACCTGAATTTGACTTTTCAGTTCTCTCTTTGAGATTGACAGAAAAACCTACCCAGATGTGGGATAGGGTGAGGTGGGGAAGGGGCAGCTTCACATAGGCTTTAATCCCAGCACTCAGCACTCACTAGAGGGAGGCAGAGGCAGGCTCTGAGTTCCAGGCCATTGTGGACTCTGTGGGGAGTTATAAGATAGCCAGGACTACATAGAAAGACTGTCTCAAATAAACATTACAAAGCAAGAAAAGGAAAACCTGGCATGGTGACTGATTCATGCTTGTAACTCCAGCTTTCAGAATGCTAAAGTGGGAGGCTAACTTCTCGAAGAAGTTTCAAGCCAGACCACCAGATTCTGTCTGAACACACACACACACACACACACACACACACACGTGTACACACACACACACAGTCAAAGAAGGAAGGGAAGAAGAGGAGGGAGGAGAGACAGATCTGGGGAGAGGACTACAGTTGATAATGAAGCTGCCTGCTTGGGTGTCAAAGAAGATAAGAACACAGAAAAATGTGGTCCAGCTGTCAAGTACTGATCTGTTAGACAAAAGTAGTATTTATCAACCATGACTTTAGATATATGGGCCTGAGGCTGTAGAGATGGCTTGGGGGTTAAGAGCACTCACTGCTTTCTCAGAAGATCTGAGTTCAATTCTAGAACCTATGTCAACTGGCTTACAAAACTGTCTGTAATTCCAGCTCCTGGAGAGCTGACACCTCTAGCACACGGGGAGGACAGGGACACACTGACGCTCACGACATCTATTCCTTCTCTCTGCCCCAGGGTTTACCATCCTGACTGCTCACATGGTTTACTCTGCCCTCCTCTACCTTCGCCTGTCTTTGTTCCTCCACTTCAGACAGAGTAAGCTTCCTGCAAACTTCCTGCTAACCACAGCTTTACAGCAGTGTTTCCGTGGGGTGGGGGTTCTGGTCACCTGGCCTGACACCTCTATCCTATGAACAAGTTCAAAGGCCTTCTCTTAGGGAAGAAAAAAGAAAACAAGAAATATATCAAAAGCATATCATCTACCTCTTGTCACCCAAAATCATTGCCCAAGTCTTTTTTTGCAATATACTTACATAGTTTTTCTCCAGAAAATCTGAAGAGTGATTTTAGTTACATCACATCCAACCCATTTACCCTAATAGGTATTACCTTCAACATTTACTTTCTTTTCCATTTACCCTAATAGGTATTACCTTCAACATTTACCTTCTTTTCTTAGAAGAAAAAATATGTGCCGACTCAAACAGATAGTAAAAGATTCTTAAGCCTTACATGTTTCCTTCTGCTCTTTGGAACCTGATAAAATTTTAATAATTAACTTGTGGCCTTCTCCTTACATATAAATCTGAACACATTTCAACTTAAAGAAGTATTAAATTGTTTCAATACTGATGAGCAAGTAAACTTATGCCACCTGCACTACCACAAAGGGAACAAGCTATGTAAGCTGTGCTTTTCCAGGAACAGAGTTTCTCAATTAGTGATTGGCTCCTAACAATGTTGCTGAGTAAAGAACAGCAGCTTCTGCTGAACTCCTGGGGTCTTCAACCACACGGAGAGGAATTAAGAGGGACAACAGAAAATGAAGGCATCTGACAAAATAGTGCCTAGCCAGGCACAAAGTCAAACAGAAAAAAGATCCTACTTTGTGGATACAATTCTCACTGAACTAAAGCTGCTCACCCAGGGAACCACTGCTTTCCTCAGAGTAGAATCTGGGATTCACAGCCAGCTTCCCTACTCCTCAACAAGAGGTGCTACCAGGAATTCCCCTTCTGCGTCCCACAGGCTTTCCGGAACATGAGAAACCATGTGTACTACCGTCACTGCCTTTTAGGTATGTGTCCAAAATAAACTCTTAACCCAAGCAAGACTGAGAATGAAGTATCTAATAAAAAACAAAACAAACAAAAAAGGCCAGTGTAATCTCAAGGTTACATTTACTAACACAGCCACTACAGAAAATAGCTAGACTGTTACTTCCCAACTTCGTTTGATACACTAAACAGAAGCCCAGCCTGTGTGATAAAACATTACTCACAGAGGCAGAAGGATCTCTGTAAACTGGAGGCCGACTTGGTCTACATATCAGACCAAGTTAGAGCTATACAGCAAGATATAATCTCAGAAAGAAAAGACAAGGATTAAGAAGAAACCGTCTGAACAGTGACTGTCTTCACCTGTAATGTATTGCACTTTCAAACTAATAATATGGCTACAAAGCACTGGCCTGGGTAATCTCTGGCAACGACCCAAGGGATTCCGAGCAAAGACTCATGAGAAGGTCAAAGCCTTAGGAAACAGCAGGCAATAATAAAAACACTTAGCGGCAGGGGACTGGCCTAAGCGCTTTGCTTTGTGTGTATTAACTAATTTAATACCAACAACTTGTTAAGATCCCGCCATCAACCCCAGTTTAAGTGTGTGGAACAGAAAAATGCCTAAGTGGCCTGAACAAAACATTAACACAGCCAAGAAGAGACAGAGACGCCACAGTGGACAAGGTGTACAGCTTCCCGTGGTTTCCCCATAGGTCACACAGAAAGAAGCTCCTAGAAGCCCATCGGCCCTGGCTAGCTCTCCATCCATATGTTTGCTTTTGATGCCTTGAATGACATCGTTGAAACGCAAAGGACAACGGAGTGTCTCTGTATTACACAGAGGAAACTCAACTTCTGTCCTGAGGATGTCCTTCCAAACAATAAGATGTATCAATGAAGCCCTGGACCAGAAAACTGACATGAACAAAGACTCAAAAGGAGTAGTACCAAACAAGCGATGTGAAAGTACCGGGCCTAGGAAGCTGCCAAGAAGGGGCGCATCCATCGCGTGCAAGGTGCCCCTGAATAAGGCCTGGAAGGCGCAAGGACCCGGCTGCACTCAATCCCGAAGCTTGAGGCCTTAAGGCGGCGGGGCTAGCAGGGTGCTGTGCTGCGGGAGGCCGGATCCCGGGCTCCGGGAGGAGAATGCGTCACGGACCTCCCGCTCCACGTCGCGCCTGCTCTGTGCACCCCCAACCCGGGGACGCCTCCCAGCGGGTCGGCCGGAGGAGGAGCGATCGGGGACGCGTCCCAGGTCGCGGGAACAAGCCAAGGCCCGTGACCACGGGCGCCCATGCCGACCCCGGAGCCCTCCGCGTCTCCTCGGGATACCGACTCTCCGCCGACCTCGCCGACGCCGTCCCCGAGGGCTGCCGTGCCCTCTCGCTCGCCCGCCCGCCGGCTCGCACAAAGCGGAACGCCGTAACCCCTGACCCCTCCAGCACCTCGGCTTACCGGCTCGGCCACCACCTGACACGCCGCGCCGGCGCCTCCATATCCCAGAAACCAGCGCCTAGCAGGTCGACCTCCTGCCCTCCCGCGATTGGCCGGCAGGACCGGAGCCCCGCTTCCTGATTGGCTGGACTCCTGCAGCTGACTCCTGCGTGGCGGGCGGGCTGGCAGCGAAGGTTCCGCCCACCCATGCTGGCTAGGGGTGGGGCCTAGTTGGGGCGTGTCCGAGCCGGAGGCGTGGCCCGGCTCCATCCCAGCCATTCAAACCTACCGCGTTCCTCACGGTGGCAACTCCCCAGCCCGGGAATGCTAGGGACATAAACATTTTTGGCATAGTTCCCACCATCTCTTTTTAAGCAACCACAAACCTGTTTCCTCCTAAAAGGTGATGACTACGAGATAGAGCTGCAACCGATAATAAGGTACCATGGCAGTCCCTTTCTGGCCTCTTGGGCCACAGCACGGTGTCCACCGATTCACCAACACCACCCTACGTCTGGGAGGAACCGCGAAACTTGGACCAGCGAAGCCAGTTGGGCCGCACCGATTGTCTTCCTCCCAAGCCTTTCAGTGAGTTATTTTCCATCCCACACAGCTGTGTCTTCTCCCCACACTCTACCCTGCCTTCCCCAAAGCCGTCCCGCTCTGTCCCCAGCCTCACACCTCAGTCCTCTGAAGACGACCAAGTGGGGAGAGAATAAATGGCCTGACAAGTCCCCCAACTTGCCACGAAGTTCTTAAGAGCCACCAAAAACTTTTTTCCCTCGTTTCCCCCTACTGGCTACAGCAGTAGCGATGACAGCTCTGTTTCCTTTTCGTAGAAACTGCCGGGAGAAATGTTCATTATTTGGTAAGAACGGAGATAGGAAGAATGCGTGAACCCACCAAAAACGGAAATTAAAAAATAGGATAACAGCAAAAAGTAAACTGGGGACAAAAAGAAACGGCTAAACAAACTTCCACACCCTGGCGAGGGCTGCTGCTTCCCATTCAGAGTGGTCTCCTGAAAGAGAAAACGGCACACGTTAGTTCTAGCCCAGAACCTATCCTCAGGGATCCTCTGTTGCATCTAGAAAAGAAAAAGGCCGGGCTGTTTGTGTCAGCTTCCAAATGTGCTCAGCTGGTCAGTGTCCCTGACACTAGCTGCCCACTTACTTAGCTCACAGTTGGGACCAGCTGTTGCTGCCCTCGGCTGCCTCTTCCCCATGGTGCAAAACTGGTTTGACTTTTCCAGCAGCACAGCCTCTATATATGTGGACTAGTGCGCCTCCCTTGGTTAGGGACAAGACTTGAGGTAGGTCAAGACTGAGGAAAAACTTCAAACCGCACCCTCCAAAGCATAATCAATTTCATCTTTGACCGGCCATGAAAAGGGAGCATTGTATTTCTGCCACTCCTAGTTATTAATAAAAATTGATTGAGTTAAAGTTTTCTTCTGAGATTTCATTTCTGTGCCATTCCACAGGGCAGGACCTGTAGGCAATGGGCGCTGGTGGCTGAAATGGGTGGAGGGAACTGCTTTTCTCTGGCTGCCACTCCCCTGGGAGTCAAGCTGGTTCAGGGACTGCTTACACACTAGGACTCTGCCCCTCTGAGACAGGAGGTAAAACCAATTAACTCAAAGCCTGGCAGCCCACATGTATTTTCCACATAGTACGTGCGATACTGATGCAATTATGAGGCGTCTCAAAGTATAGGTGAAAATGCCGCCTGGTCTTTCTCTCTGGATCTGAAGGAGCCGAGGGCATTAGCTGGTCAATCAGTGATCTGCAGGCAGACAACAAAGTGAGGCAGATCAGAACTTAGTACCTGACGGAAAAGAAAAAGTCATGAGGCAGCAAAACAGAAATCTAGGGCAAGAATTTTTCAGTGTGGGAGGAGGGGAGCTTGAAGAATGGGAGAAATTTGCCTCCTGGAAACAACAGAGAATACCTAAGAATAAATGGAAAGAAAAAGCAGTTGACTCAAATTACCAAGGTGGGGGCACATTTAACGCACATTTAAGCATGGCAATGCTAGGAACCTCTGATTTTCTGAGCAGCATCCCAGGTGAAAGTCCCAGGGGCTGGGCTCACTCAGCCAAGGAAAGTCCTACCTTAAGATGTGATCTGCTTCCAACCCAAGTAGCTATCAGACCGTTCGTTCCCCAAGGCAAGGTTGCCTCTGCAGATTAAGTCGGGGACAACTTGTCCTCCTCAGAAAATAGAAGCACCCATAAAACCATCCATGAAATAAAATCTGGCATAGAAAAGATTCGAATTTATGATTTCTAAAAGGAGAAGTAGTGTTGAGGATGTAGCTGAATGGTAGAGAGCTCCCCACTATGTGTAGAGTTCTGGGTCCCATCAGTATACACACATACCACACAAATACACACACATACCATATATATCAAACACACAATACATATACCACACATACCACACACACACACCACATATGCACCACACATACACACCACACATTCACCACACACATACACACACACCACACATACCACACACACACTAAAATAAAAATTATTTGGTCATAGTGGTGAACATCTTTAATACCAGCAGAGGCAGGTGGATCTCTGAATTCAAGTCCAGGCTGGTCTACAGACCAAATTCCAGGACAGCCAAGGCTGCACAGAGAAACCCTGTCTTGAAAAGGAAAACAAACAAAAAAACATCTTCAGGTTTGTCTTCTAACATACTAACTGAATTTTTCTTTTTGGGGTGTTTTTGGGGAAGAGGTGTTTGAAACAGGGTTTCTCTGTGTAATAGTCCTGGCTGTCCTGGAACTCACTTTGTAGACTAGGCTAGCCTCAAACTCTCTAAGGTGCACCTGCCTCTGTCTCCTGAGTGCTGGGATTAAATGCACACACCACCACCACAACTGCCACAACCAACTCCTGCCATGCCCAGCTCTTAATATGGATTTTGAAAAAAGTTTTCTTTAATCATGTATATAATGTATAAAATCCCTACAGCTTTTTATTTATTATGTGTACTCACGTGTGTCTGTGTGTGCATGAGTACTGAGTACAGTGCCTGCAGAGGGCTCCTGACCCCCTGGAACTGGAGTATAGACAGTTGTGAGCTGCTCAGTTTGGGAGCTGGAAACTGAGCTTGGGTGCTCTGGAAGAGTAGTGTGTATTCTTCAGCCCTGAGCCATCTCTCCAGTCCAGTGTGGATCTCATTGCATGAAGCTTTTATTTAAGGGATCTACCATATGCTTTCCGGCCACACACTCCCAAGTATTTCTTCATGCTTTTATTTTCTCTGCAACTTCCTAAAATTAGCTACTACTGTTATTGACCATCTTTACCTGGAAAATTATTCATCAGGGTTCCTCAAAATACTCATGAGCCAAAAAGATAATAGCTCATCAGGAAAAAATGTTTGCAATCGAAGCCTGGTGACATGAGTTTGAGTCTAGAAATCCATATAAAGGTGCTCTGACCTGCACACATGCACACCATATGCTTACCCTAATACAATAATAATATATACATTAGAAAAGCAACTTAAAGCTGGGTCATGATGATGCACACCTTTAATCCCAGCACTTGGGAGGTAGAGACAGGTGGATCTCTGTGAGTTCAAGACCAACCTGGTCTACAGAGCTAGCTCCAGGACAGCCAGGGCTACACAGAAAAACCAGGTCTCAAAAAAAAAAAAAAAGCAACTCTTATGATTGTCCTCTGACTCCTCTATGCAACATTAATTACTCTTAAATTCCATTTACTGCCCAAGTGTGGGGAGCAGAGCAGCCCTGGGTAAATGTACAGAGAGTGAATGTGTACTATTGGCAAGGATCCCAATTAGTCAAACCCTTGGGAATTGGCTGAGCTCCCTTCGGTCCCTGTGGGAATGTGGACTGAAGGTACAGAGAGCATGGACTGAGATCCCTCCTCGAAGCTTACAGCTGGAGACTGCTCCCCTGCAGAGACCTCCCACCTAGCTTTCCTCCTTTGCTTTGATACCAAGCTGAGGGAGTCTCTGGTCTGCTGCACAGCTGGTGGTCTCTGTCAGAGCTTCCAAGGCCCACTCAACCCAGTTCTGTCTGTGTGTCTGTACTTTATTCCCTTGTAGTCCCTGTCAGGTTTCCAGGACCAAGTCATGCAGGACTTCCAAGCATTTCTCACTGTGTTTAACAACTAATTAATTTTATATACATTTACTGAGAACCTACTATGCTCCCAGCACGGACTGGATGGTACACATATCATCAGTGATCGAAGCACAGGCCATCATTGATTGTTTTTGTGCTTTTTCTCCCAATAGAGAAGACTGAGCTACATGAGGTTGCACACATCTTTGATCTCAGCCCTTAGGAGGCAGAGGCAAGCAGATGTCTGGGAGTTCCTGGCTAGCCAGGGCTACATAGTGAGACACTGGAGGTGTGCGCCTTATCTTTGTATAGCTGGAGCTAGCAAACAGCAGATATACAGAAGGTGTCCCATGAATGTAATATAGATAGATAGATATTTTATAAGAGGTAAAATGTTAAAACTGTTAAGCAATAAGGAATGATAGTATATTCCTATTTATGTACTTGTTTCCAGAATTAGGTTTTATCCATGCCAAAATATTCTTCCCTAGATGCTACTAGGCTTAGGAACCATTCCTAGGGAAAATGCCAACATGCAGAGCTCAGACCCCCTTTGAGGATGAAAAGCTTTTTTTAGAAAAGAGTTGAGACAAGTTCTCCTGTAGCCCAGACTGGCCCTGAGCTGGCCATATGGTCCGAATTGGCCTTGTGATCCTCCTACCTCAGCCTACAGTGTACTGAATTTCAGGCATAAGCACAATCCCCGCTATAAGGACTTTGTTTTTCAGACAGAGTTTTTGTAGAAACTCACTTTATAGACCACGCAGGCCTCCAACTCACAGAGATCCCACCCACAGACCTCTGCCTTCTGAGTCCTAGGATTAAAGTTGTGTGCCATACACACGGCTATGAAGGACTTATTATTCCAGCTGTTGGTAGGTGAAGTGATGCTGGCAGATGGCCTTTGTGTGTCTGGCCCCACCCCATTCCTTACAGCCTACATGCAGTGGGAATGGTCCTACATAGTTCAGTTGCTCCTGCCCAGTCTTGCTTCCTTCCATTCCCTCCTTATCAGTCCCAGGTTTTCTTCCTAATAAACTTCCCGCAGATACCGTCTTGACGTTGGCTTCCCTGTTACTTCTTCCAATAACTCAAGGCCAAAGTTAGCTGGAAATGTGACCTGTACTCACTCTTCATCTGTTTCTCCACCCTTTGTGACACTCTGCAAGTCACTTTCTGAACTGAGATCACTGAGACCATCTACAGCAGAACCCCAACTTTTGCCATGTGTACATCCAAGATGGCAAGCTGCTCCTCTCCTGGCTGTGCCTCTGGCTGTCCCCCTGGCTGCCACTATCCTGTGCTCTCTGCCTGGCTCCCTACTTTACGTACTTCTTGGCTACTTTCCTTCTGCTCCTCACATGGGGGCATTCCGTAGGCTTGATCCATAGTCCTCTTCTAATATCCACACTTTCTACACCAACACTAGAGACATTCCAGACAAAGGATTAAGCCGTGTAAAGAACAACATTTTAAGATTGGGCTGAATTTCATCTCCAGCTGAGAGAGAACAAAACAAAACAAAACAACAACAAAAAAAAAAAAAAAAAAAAAACCTGTTTTTTATCTGGTGTCTTTGTTTTCTTTGAGACAGGTTCTCATGTGGCCAAGGCTAGTCTTGAACTCCTGACATAGCTAAGGCTCGCCTTGAACCCCTGATCCTCCAGCCTTCATCTTCCAAGTGCTAGAGTGGCCTGCTTAAGCCACATGGCTAGTTTGTTTCATTTCTCCATCTGTAGTAAGTGGATGCTTCATGGGGATATTTTCAGTTTTCCTGATGCTCCAGTGTGGTTTCTATACTGGAACAGTCTTGCTCTGACCAGGATCCATTGGGATAATTTCTTACTCACTCAAACCTCCTACAGCAAATTCTCCCATGACCCCAGCACAGGCAGAAAGCTGTCTTCTTCATAGTCCTAGAATCTGGTACTGTGTCCTGCCTGCCCCGCAGCACTGGCCCTGGATCAATTCTGCAAATACCAGTGCCCCTCTCTCCACATCAGGCCTTTATTCTGCATCCTGTTGCATCTCTGGGGAAGATGCTAAGGCACATCTCTCCTTCACATCAGTGGTGATGACTCCGGAATGCCACGATGCCCCTTCTTTCTCGGAGATGCAATCATTTTCTTCCCAGACCTCCAGCAGCAGTCAACACTGACAAAGTCCCAGATGATCCTCTGCACACAAAGCAGTCAGTTCTTGGCATTTCCCTAGCTCTCCTGTCTCTAAGTGTCAAGCCTGTAAGTTCTCACAGGCTTCTCACCCTCTTCTAT